CATTATTTACTAATAACTTAAAAATTATACATTTTATTTACATTCTAGATTTAATCCATGATCATTTGAAAGATTACTAAATTTCTTATAAAAAAAAAAAATATAATAATAAAATCATCGAAATTGATCATTATCAGCAAAGATACAGTCTATAGTAATTTACAAATCTTTTGGTTGATTATTATGAATGAATTAATGTGATTTGACTGAAGAAAAGAAAATTATTTCCTCTATTTTACAATACACTACATTAACGTATTTCTATATTATATTGTCAATTGTTCATTGACCAATGTAGAATGTGAATTATTCCCATGGACCATCTATATTGTAGTACCCTTTATTTTAATTGCCAACGTTTCAAGCTAGATTGTAGGTCTTATCAGGGCATTTCATCCAGCACTGCCGGAAAAAGTTAAGAAAATGATCAAGATCTATTTTAGATATCATTCATTTTAAATTCTTTATGATTTATGTAGTGGAACTGCCACATCCTATATTCAAAAGTTTGCTGGGTTCTCTCATCCATATTATATATTATTTTTTAACTTTATTTCTTCACTCTCACCTGTCAGAAGAATTGACAGCCAGTGGCTATGCTGTCGGGAAGCAGAATAGTAATAGGAATTTGATAGGCGTAAGCCCATGGGCATTCCTTCCTATATTGGTTTTAGTATATATATATTTAAACGTCGATGCCTCACCTGGCTTTCGAACCTCTTAAGGGTATGTCTATTGTGACAATAACTTGAATGATGTCTTAGTATATTCATGTAAGTAATCGTAAAATCGTTCGTAGTGTGTTCATTTGTGATCGTTAATTGTTGGCGTGTGAAGACCTTTATGAAAAGTAATGTTAGTGACCAATCTATATATTTTTTATTTATTTATTCATGATATTTACAACTTTATTAATAAAATAAATCTAGTAAAATTGTACAAATGGATATAATGTCATGAAACCTTATTCAGAAACTACCCACATTCTAGTAATATATCAGGGAATTCATATTCATTCATATTAAGAAATCATGGAACCATCTTCTTTTCAGACATCTCAGAGAGTTATCAAGAACTGAGGAGGAAGCAATGATAGAAACGAGAGAGTTGGGCTGGTTCTGAAGTTTATTATAGAAGGGTTAGGTATCTGGATTGGGTCCAATCTGGAACATAAGGGACATTAAGGTGATTATGGAGGATTTTATTTCTAACAAGGTAAGGAGCAATGAGGATTTAACCAAGGATTTTGGATTGTAGGATTGGTTAGGAGAGGAATTCGATGGTTTAATAGAGCGGCATAGCTCAACACCGTAAGACCAAATAGGCCTTATAATGGTCATGTTTATGAGTCTTTTGTAATTGATTGGATGCTTAGAGCGTTTCTCTAGTAAGTGCTGAAGTAGTCGGAAACGTCGAACGGTTTCTTGTCGTTTATGAGGACGTTTGTCCAGATGGAGTCCTAGAATCTGAATGTTAATTCCAATTTTCAGTATTACTAATTATTTTCATTTAAATATTATTACTAGGTAATATAACAAAATCTTGTCTAAGCTGAGCCTTGATTTCCCGTTCTCTCACTTCTAAGAGTATAGAGGCCATAATTTGGATTTTGTTTTTATTTATTAAAAATACTAAAAAGTTTCTTTCTATATTATCCAAAGTGTCCAAGAGATCATAGAGCTATTCTCCTACATTTACCTTTTCATTTGATTTTTTTTTCCTTTACTTATGTTTCTCATACCTTGTTATCTGGTTATTTTCTTAGCCCTGATGAAGGCCTGAACTTCAGGTCGAAACGTCGGCATATGTAAAAAATAAATATTATCATTTATTTTTGCCTTCCTTTTTGACTGACCACCCCAACTATTCTTCTCTTCATTTGATTTTTATTTATAATTATGCCATGGCAACCATAAAACAAGAGGCTTTCTAGAAAACTACTATTGATTTCGAAGACGAAACATCTTTGGAACTATCTGTGTCTTGATATCTGCTTCTAAATCTTCAAAATACAATTTATTCTATCTGGATCCGTCGATTTTTAAAATCTTTTTTGAGACGTCTTATTTTTTTTTTTAAATTATCATGATCTTTATAAAATTACCTTTCACTAGATACCTCATTCATATACCTTACCCATAGCTACTGACATCCGAAGAAGGGATCTGTCTCTATTGTATATATTATAGATAAGCCATATATTCTTTTTAATAACAATATTTTTAAGATATCTCTCATGCAAAATACATCTATTATTTTTAATTACCTGCAGCTCTATTTAGAAATGCATTATCTGTATTTTCCTTAGTATCTTTATATATGCAATTTTCTAAGTATTTTTTTTGTAATACATATTTTTTTAACTCTACTATTATTCTAAGTGGACTTCAGTCCTAGAATAAAATTATTTTTCATTTCATTTCAAATGTAAAATGATTTGGGATTCATAGATCGTAGTTACCTTCAACTTTAACTTAGCTTAGGCATTTTTCAGTGCAACAAAGCTAACAATATCTTAAACAAAAGATCAAAGAAAAAATGAACAAAATGAAAGACTGAAAGACTATCCTCACATATAGCCTTTAACCTGACCCGGGTTATTTCTTTAGAGTTCGGCATCTTTGAGTTACTATTTCTTTTAGGTAGTCCCGTTGAGTTCGTCTCATATTGTCTCGGGCTGAGCCATCTCTTGAGAAAAGATGTTAGGGGGGGGGGGGAGAAAAAAAAGTGGTTAAAAAATAAAATAAGGTTAGTCCCTCCATTAGAAAAACTCACTTGTTATGTAAAATAGGTAAACGCCTGGTGCCTTAGGGGGCAGTAAACCTTTTGTGTTAACTTTAAGAAATTCTTGAGCACCTTTGAATGGGCCTGCTTTTGTAATTATGTTGTATTTCATAGGATACAATTTTTAAACGCAACTATTAAGAGTCATTAAGGGATATTATATCCATTATGCTGTATCATGTAGATGTTAAGGCAACTGACTTCATTTTTTTTTTTCCAAGTTTTAACTGTGTCTCATTTATGTTTCAGGTGAGTTGGAGTTGTTTATTAGAAGATGGAGGGTGAGTGGAAGTTTTGTAGCCTTTGGATAGTTAATAGCCAGTAACTTTCCTTTCCTTTTTCAGACTAATGAGTAATTATGTCCGCCCTGGACCAAATTCGATTTCCGGGGCCTCTCCTTAAATTGGTCTGCTCAATCATTAAAGGGAAAGGGCTAGCAGATTTTTCTTACGGTCGATTTCTTTCCTCCTTAAAGGTTAGGAATGGATAGGGTTATTCACGAAACCAATGCACTCTATGTTAAAACTCTTAAATATGTTAAAATGTAGACATATAATTAGCATCTGTGTGCTAAGGTAAATATGGTCGCCACTACACTCGACCTGGGATCTTTTAATACTTGTGCTAATTTCGTAAACGCTCAGAGAACGTTATTGTGAGGCTTTCATCTTCTGTTTACTACTTCTGCTTTAAATAAAAAGGAATGTAAAAAAAAAAAAAAAAAATCGAAAGAAATTTGGAATACGTTAAAGGAGAATTTTTTTTGTATTTTTTTTGGCTTTAAGACTTGTAAAAGCAAGTTCTTTTTTGCCAGTAAAATATTTGAATTGTCATAGTAAGGTGAAATTACACTGGATATATATTAATTATTTATAGTTAGATGATCACTAAATGTAACTAAATATTGGATGTAACTTATATGGATCTTGGATATTAGATATTATATTATTACATATTATATATTAGATATTATGGAAACTAGAAAGACTAATAGTTAAAAACTGAGGTGAATTAGAATTAGAATTAAATGATAATAAGAGGCGACTTTTATTATATGACTGCTTTTATGTCATTCATGAACTTTATCAAGTCACGGGCGTTATCTTTATTCATCGACCGAAAAAAGTTAGCTCCATCATCCGTAGTTTGCGATCCTAAACTAATTCTCTTCGCTTCTGGAATCTTTTACACTTGAAGGCAAGGTGTCTTGGATCCTCCAAGCATTGACATGTTGGGCAGTGACCACTCTTAGCTATGCCCATTAGATGTAGATATTTATTAGATGTAGATATCTACTGTAATTTATCCTAAGCCTGGTCAGCTTTACTAAGCTGGAGCGGTCGAGATGAGATTTAAGAGTTGCAAATCATGGAAATTAAAAGTTAAAAAGTTTAAAGTTGAAGGAGATGATGGGGTTGTGATCAACAATCATACAGATTTTATGTGAAAATAATACAGTGACTTGAGTAAGTTGCCTCGAATCCCCTGGTTTCACTGGACAAGACTGATGAAGACCTACTACTTACGTCGAAACGTAAGGAATCCCATAAATAATATTCTTACGTACTATTTGTTATGTGTTGACCTCACCTCCCGATTATCTTCTTAAATTGGTGGTACCCTATCCTCGTTACCATTTTCCGTGAAAATTCCTTTACTTCATGTAACGTCACAATTTTAATATATTTTGATTTGGACAGTTTTTGATACATGTCATAATTACAACTTTTATCCTGGCAACAGTTAAAACTGAACTGAAAAAAAAATGTTACGTTTTCTTGTAAGCTTAATAAGTAAGAATAAACAGAAACATTCAGTGGAATCGAGGCTATCTAACTTAAGAATCATAAGAAATTGGTGATGCAATTTTTATTGTTATTTTTAAGGAACCTTATCCCAGAATAAAGTTGATTTTCGTATTCTATTCTATTTCACTCCATTGTATTGTATACTCTCAAGCTGTTAAAGAAATAGTGAGTGGATACACCAGATATTTCGGAAACTTTCGTTGTGTTTTTTTTTTAAATCGAAGTTAACAGGTATAATTTTAAAAAACAGATTAATTGCAAAATTTAGAAATTTAAATTAATTATATATAAATCTATTTTTTCTATTAAAACAAACAAACGAAAAAAAATTGGTTTATTCCTGTTTGGCGCGGTAATGGCCGACAAGTAAGACGAAGAGGAGTGTCAAAGAGAACTCCCGTAACGCAGATGACTCCATCAGCCCTCGTGGGAAAGCAGGATAACCCTTTCATTTCCCAATTAGATTCCCATTGCCGGCTCCAAGCTCTTCTCCTTTTTCTTTTATCTCCTGTCGACTCCATCTACTGTGGATCTCGAGTGTATCTGAGTGTGGAGTTTTTGTGCCTTATAAGCTAACCTGGTTCGGAAGCAATATCTGGTCCAGGAATTCCTTCGCGTGTTTGGAATATTTTCTTAAAATTCTTTCTCCTCATCTGTCCCCCCTTTTGAAAGTATTAATAGCCTCCTGATGTCTCGCTTCTCAATTCGATCTTATAGTCATTACTTAATTCGTCTTCCTGTATCAAAAGCTTTATAACGAACTATATTTATTTCTAAAGATAACACTAGATTTCTTTTATATATATATATATATATATTTTATTTTTATTTGTTTCGATAGAAATTGAACTACTGAACTGAATTAACTCATCAAGGAGTATATTTATATTAAACGAATGCCTATTTTTATTTATTTATTTTTCTTTTGTATAAACCTAGAATATATAATTTCATTCAAGAATCATAAATAAGAAAAAAATTTTCGCAATAAGTTTACAAAATCATACATTTATAAATTTGTGTTGTGTCTCATTTTAAATTTAAAGGAATATTCATTGATTATTTTTTAATAGAGGATCCCTTCAAGACTTATTATAATCATCACCATTAGTTAATTTACTAGTAGATTTTATTAATTAAATAAAAAATGCTACAGAACTGTAGTTAGCTAATTAGGAAGTAATAGCCCAAGATGATCAAAGGTAAAGAAGAGTGAATAATATGGCTAAAATTCTACGAGGTCTACAAAAACAAAAAAAAAACAAAAAATAAATAAATCGATAAAATGTTCGAAAGAGAATTAATATTGACTGGTTAAATATTAAATTTTCTGTCTATTTTAGTCAATTTAATTATAACAGTAAAATTAATAAATCTATCATTTATCTCCATTAATTACTTTCTTTAAATGTGATTGATTGGAATATTAAAAACAATTTAAATATAATAATAGCATTATACTTCAATAATTTATCGTAGTAAAACGCCATAGACCCTTGAGGACAGAGGCTCGAAGGAGAGAAAAAAAAAATTCAAAATTTATTGAAAAGAATATAAACTAATGATAATAAAACTGAAAAAAAATTGATGAAAAGATAAAGGGATTATTGTGGCTTTTAAAATGTAATTATGATTGTTAGCAAAATATATACTTTTATTATTCTGAAACATATGTATGTTTGATTTCATTCTGTTTAATACAGAAGATGAATTGTAAAAATATATTATAAATTTATATTTATACACACACACACACACACACACACACACACACACACACACACACACACACACACACACACACATATATATATATATATATATATATATATATATATATATATATATATATATATATATATATATATAAATATTATGTTTATTGGCAACACATGAGTATGTTTTATGTAATATGTTAAAAAAAAAGAGAGAGAAAATTTATATTATAATTGTTTATTTCCTCGCCCAAAATACTTTTCTGTTACTGCATAACCGATATAAACTTAGGTAATTGATAAAAGCTCACACTTTCATTGAACGGTTTTTCTCGAGTAGTCTTTAATGAATTACATTAAAAAAAGTAATAATATCAATTATTTATAATAAATTTATAACATATTTAAGATCATAACAGATATAATTTATATCATGTTATAGTTAATAGCACAGTTTAAAGTAGCTAAGATCCCTGACGATGCTCTCGAGAAAGTGACCACTGGACGTCGGCTCCGTTTTGATTTGTGGTTTTTTGAAGCCATAATTCCCGTACCGCCCTCCTGGCCAGGTACTGCTCGTGGGAAAGTGTTTGGCATTCCTCTAGTCTTGCCACGATCTTCTGGTTCCGATTCTCCGCCTGGAATTTCTTCTTGTATTGGTTATTCCAGATTTACGAGGAGTTATAACAGAGCTCTCCTCAAAATCTCAAAATTATCCCAAATTGTGTTCCCATTCTATGAAGTATCTTGTACCTTAATGAACAATTTCAGTAATTAAATTGTAACTAACAACACTAGCGGATCCAGGATATGATTTTGGGGGGGGCTTCAGTCCGAAAGATTTTTTTTTCATGTACATATAACGGTAATTAATTTGAAAAAAAAAAAAGAAAAATTCAATTACCTATATGAAATGGTGTTTAAGTGGTCCTTGAAGTCCTATTAAATGTAATTAAACGAACAAGAATACTTTAAGAGATAGTTTTTAATATTTTTTTCTGTAAAACGCGATTTATTTTACCATTTTTTGGGGGGATGGCTTCAGCCCGAAAGCCCCCCCCCCCCGTAGATTCGCCTGTGATTAACAATATATATATATATATATATATGTCATTGTGACGAGATCTCTTGAAGGGTATGAAGCTTTTCCGAAGAATTGTCTTTGTCTGAGAGACTCATACATACATATAACCAAGCTGTTAGGTCCAATTTAGAATAGAATAAAAAATAAAATCTGCTTTCATTCATTAAAAAATGTATTTTTTGGCGAATATTCTAATTATTTCTTTATATTATATATTTAGTTTTTCCTCTCTGTTATTAATACACTTTCCGCAGTTAGTATTTGTATTTAATTTGGCACTATATGAAGTTGGAACTTAATAATTTTTATTTGAATAAAAATATTATGGAAAAGTCGAATTTTAGCATTAAATTAAAACTTCGATCTACGTTTTTATGTTTCATAAATATTTCCAAAAATAAATAACATATTTTACAATATTAATCAATCTATTCGTATTGGTGCTGATTGTAGTCGTTTATGTTAGTTATTAAATATAAATCCAACAGCTATAATCAAATAAATCCCGATAGAAGATTTCATACATCATATAAAAAAAAAATTGCGGGTAATGTGGCAGAACGTATGGCAACAAAAAGAAACCAAATTAAAAGGAATAAAAAGCCACTGTTCAAAATGTAAAACTAGCAACAGACTCTCTAGAAAAGAAGAGACAGTCCTCTGCCGCTTACGAATTGGGCAGTGTGAATTTTCACATGCCTACTTACTAAGAGGACTAGACCCACCGACCTGCGAGAGCTGTAAGGTGCAAAGAACTGTCCAACACATCATCCAAGACTGCCCGGTATTTGAGAATGTAAGGAAAAATCTCGATATGGCTCAGAGCCTAAAAGAAAACCTCAGCGACAACGAAAACGCCGTGGAAAAAACCTTGCAGTTTTTAAAAATAATAAAGTTCTACAATAGAATATAAATAGGAAGTGTTGCCAATGACCCTGCAGGGTAGAGGCAACAATAAAAAACAAATAAATAAATAATAATAAATATTTAAAAATGTTTATTATTATAATATTGTTAATAATAAATTTATTGTAAAAAGCCATAACATGAAATTTCGTAAACTCAAATCACGAAGAACTACTATGAATTTATCTCTTAGTGAAATCAGAACATTGTGCACGTATAACTAACTATATTTGATAAATAAAAGTGTTTATTTTATTTTGGTTTAGCTTAATTGAAAATGAACTAAGTGACTTTTTCTTAAATTAACCGACGATATTTTAATTTATTTTATTTTTTGCTATTTCTTCGCTTTTATTTAGAAACAAAAAAAATGTGAAGATTGTGAAATGAACCTTGGCTAGATAAAGGTCTTCAGAAGTTTGAAGAATGTGAAAGTTGTATGAGGACACAAGATTTATATCATTTAATAAATTATGGTAGATGATATCACGTTAGTCTTGAGGACAATGTCCATTACTAATCCCCGGATAGAAAAATAATTTGAAATAAATTAATGTGATAAATGTATCGTGTTACAGTTGTTATATATTGCTGATATATATATATTTATTTATAATAATGGTCTAGTATCCCCTATAAATCTCTGATTGATCAACAAATGTTAGTAGACAAATAGTCCAATAGTTCAGTAAAAATATAGGTCTTTGTCTATGAATAAAACTATAATTTTTAAATTGCAACTATTTAAAAAAAATAAGGTACTCAATTCTACTATTAAATCTTAGAAATTGTTAAGAGGAAAGTGGAATAAGATTGGACAATTGATAAATTCTTAAACAGTCCATAAATTTCCGTTTATTGGTTCTTATTGCCGGATTATAAAAAAATAAAGTGAAACATATAAAATATAAAAAGAACTTGACAAATATAATGTATAAATTGTTATCCCACATAAAAAATAATGTCTTTTTACCATAGAGTTTAAATAAACACCTTAAACATAAGATGTACAGGAGTATTTCGATGGAATCAAATTCATTATCTTTTCAGGCAATAAATGACAGACTTTAATAAATAAAACGATTTACGAAAAAAACAAAGAGACTATAAAATTTTATCAATTTTTTTTAGACATTGGAATCAATTCCATTTATAAATAAAAAGTAAATATTCCGATTTTTTAAATTTTAATTTGAATGAGTTGAACCGGATACATAAAGTTTAAAATATTTTTATGAGAAGGAGTTGATCGGGGGGGTGCGGTCAAATTAATACTAAATTAAATGAGTAGAATTATTTAATTTTTGTCGACGTCTCGACCCACTTTGTAGGTCTTTATCAAGGCGTAGGATGTAGAAAACTGCGGGAGGCAGTTGAAACACTGGCAGTGTAAAATATTTTTAATACAACTCCAAGCTATTTTTAATACAATATTATTTTCTCAGGACTGATCCGTATCTGAAATGACCAAAATAACAAATAATATATCGTTTTATTTATTACTAACTTTATTCTTAAGAGGATGGTGCGTAATTTATTAAGAATTCTTGAGACTAGAAAAATAATTTTTTTTTATGACGTTACGTTTGTCAAGCTATTTCATTTGGTGGTTCAAAGGAGATCCGTTCCTAATAAGCCATGTTCAAATTTTATTTTAAGAAAATCTCCACTTGAAACCACCAGCAGAAGATGGCTTAATATTAGATGACCTAATAATCATAAACAGTTCCATAGGTATATTAACTTTTAAATTGAAAAGTCATCTATCAAATTGATGGTGAGAACATCTCATCTCATTTGCATTCATCTCATTCGCGAGAATAAGTATTCAGAAATTATAAGCTTTCTCGATAGCCAATGTGTTTAATATAAATTGCCAAGTGTCTCAACAAAGATCTTTGCAACGATGACGATGTGACTAATGCGATATCGTTTGCTTCTTTCAATGAAATATACAGGCCTCGAGAATATTCATTTCCAGATATTAGAAAAGTTGCTTTATTTTCTGGCACCCGAAATTCCACTTTCGGAACTGTCTCTCCGTTGGAGGGACCACGATGATCATTACCCCTCATTCAAGCAAAGGTCAGAGATTCCTGCCCCATTCTCCCGACCTCTGAAATAACTCGTATTCCAATTGGAAATGAGTTCCTGAAAGAGGCGCAGTTCCACTCTGTTTGGCTGCGATAACGGGCAACAACGGTATTGTCCATCAGAGGAAAAGTATTGATTTCCTGAGGAGGGGAACAGGAGGGAGGAGAACAGAGGGGGGTGACACCCCCAACAAGTCTTGTGCGAGGGCCCGCCGGCTAATTCAATCACTTAAGCCATCGGGGCCGTTTACTGTTAGTGGATTAGTGCTCGTGGATGGGGAGCGCTCTTCTGTATTGAGACATTTACCGCCGATTTAATAGCATGCAAAAGCCCATCTACCATCAGCTGCACGATCACATTAGCGTTTGTTGTTCGACAAGTGGTATTAAAGAACAGCGGTATGATATGAGTCGATATTTTGAAAAGGTGGTAGAAGTCCACATTGTTGCGCATAAAAATATTTAAAAATCTGCATTTGAAGCAATTATAAACGCAATAAGCCTATAATATTTTACAATACCCATGGAAGGATCTTAGGATCGGGGGATCCTCCAGGGGCACACCCAGCCTCTATAAAGTGGATAACCTTAATTAAATAATTAATTAAGGAGAAAAATCTGGTGGTTGAGCTTGATCCTGGCCCGATTATTTCCATGCACAGTTTTTTTTTTTTGTAATTTTACAGTGCAATAATAACATGAAATAGAATTAAAAATATGTATTCAAACTTGTAAGTCAGAACTTCACCTTAATAGTAATAATAAAACCACATATTTCATCACTATAATCCTGCTATATTTATTTTTTTACATCAACGTATACCTAAGGCCATTATCAAGGGAAGAAACCTATTTTAATAATTAAAAATCATTACGGACTGAATTGCCATTGTCAACTCCATTTAACTAGTCAACACTGAAGTGTCTGTAGTGATCAAATCTGTGGTTTTATTATTACTATTAAAATATTACTACTCTGTAGTAGTTATAAAAAAATCCATATTTTTATTATAGATTAGTTGATGTAGATTTTCTTAATTAAATAAATAATAACTAGTTATTCTGTGTGAATAATACGCCTAGAATATTGACCAGTGGACAAATGACGGAATAATAAAAAAATTAAATAATACAACAATATATCATAAGATAGACCTATTCGTAATTTTTTCGAATTTTGAAATATGCCAAGCAAAAAATAAATTTTAAAATTTCATTTATGTTTTAAAATAGCATGTTTATAGACTACAATAAGCTGTATCCTTGATAAAAAGGGTGCAATTTCGAATATTTTTATTTGGTTTTGTTTGGAATCAGTAATAAAGTAGTAAAGTATCTTACTTCATACATTGTTTTCTAAAATTTCAGAGAGATCTGAATATTTTATGGACCTGGAGGAGAAAAAAAATCTTTCTCAAATTAAAAGAAATATCAAAATGAAGGTTCAATCATTGGGCTTGATAAAGAATTAACGGAATAAATACGTGTGTCTGTGTAATTACAGTAAACAAACATTAATACAGAAATTATATAGTCAATAAAGATTTAATTTGACTTTACGTTTATTTAAAAAAAATACATCTGTACCTTGAAACAAAAAGGATGTGTTAATTCTAAATTTTGAATCAACTTCACAATAGAAACAAATATTTTCGCATGCTGTTGTCAACAATTGGAAATCCAATGAGTTTACTTTTCATGATTTTAATAATTTTTCACTTTTGTATAAAATAAAAAAAAAACGTGCGATATTGTTTTATGGTGATATTCAGGGAATTGATATATTATGGATACAGCCATGGAATGTTAATGAGTAAAAAACTTAAATAGTTTATTGGATGAACTTATTTTGGTTTACCTTTAATTGAAAAAATGTTTAGACTTTCTACTAAATTTAGAAGAGAATAATGTATATATTACTTTGAATGTGCGTTTTCTTGTTTGTTAATTCGACAAGGAATTAAAAAAATACAAATCAAAGAATGGTTTTATAAATACAATGAAACCGAAAAATATACATATCTGGAAAAATATTTTTCAAAATTTACTAAATATTGCAATGGACTACGTTTATTATAAAGGGCAGTTTTCTTTATTTATTAGTTCATTATTTTCGGATCCATCCTTGATTCATTATTTTTTCTAGAAAAATTATGTATTGATTACTATATGTCATCAAGTGTTTGATGAAGAAAAAAACGACCAACTTCTGTTTTTCGTTAGCGAACCTATTTTCCCTTTTCTGCTGAAGCTGAAATCGACCGATTGAGCAGGTATACACGAGATGAGGCCATCAATAATTCCCTCTGTCAAAGGATTGAAGTGCCGAATATTCTACACGAAGGGCTCTAGAGCAGGATGCCCGTCCCCGGGCTACGTCCATTACGGGTACTCCCGATGATCTGTTCGTGATCCCACAGCGGATTCCTCAATCTCTTGCGGTATGGGTGGTCCTAACGGGCTCTCTATCCATTCGGTTGACCGGGACTGCGAGTTATTTCCCTTAGTTCGTTACGTAAAACTTAATTTATAGTTCCACTAGCTCAATTGCTACATCGCTCAGTTACATCCCGATTTCTATGCTATCCGTGCTCAACGCGCAGTTGTGCTTGATAGGAACATAGAAACGACATTAAAGCTATCTGAAACCTACTAAATATGCAAGGACTTCTGCTACCTTGCCCATCGGTTGAATAGCAAATAGGCGTTTATAGTTTACTAACGACCTCAACTTGGATTACATATGTTGATTTTAACCTACAGTTGTTGGATCAAACATCACAGTTTATCCTTCATGGAGACAATATTAATGATAGAATCGAGAATATTTTGAGTTATTTAATATTTAGCAAATTCAAATTTAGATTTACACACAATGTAAACACTATACGTGTTGTTATTGTGGTGGTCCTACTACTTCATGTCAAATACAAGAGACTTTTATGTTGCCTTTTGTGATTTTTGTGACATCAGCGATCTGCAACATACTTTAACCATCAAATTCAATTAAAAATTTTAAAAAGGTACCACTACAATCCATGAAGGATTTTGGGTTCAGTACTTTCTTTGGAAGTACTGCAACGGTGGTGCAGGGAGGAGATTGGACCAGGATCACGCTCAATCGTCAGGTTTTCTCTCTTAATTAAGAGTACCCACTTTTAATTAAGAGTGTGTGCTTCAGGAGGGTCTTCTGGAGATCGATACACAGCTGATGATATATTACTTGATATCGGGACATTGAGCTTAGCAGCCCTGTGTCTAACTTACTGAACTACTCCGCTCCCTCATATACTGCTTAGCATAATGATAATAGTCTGTCCATTGAATTTAAGACATCAGCAAACCAACAAACCATGTTTCATGTGCATTTTTTAAGCTTAATCATTCAATTTCAAGCTATTCTTGGAATATTCCGGAACAAATTTTAAAAAACATTTCTTAAAACAGCTGTAAGTAAGTAGCCATTTAACTTTCGCTATTTTCGGCATTGTTGGATCTATGAAAGATTTTCTTGTTTATATTTATTTATTGAAATTTACAACAGTACTAACTTATATGCAACATGTAAATGTGAATTGTTATGGCATGTACATAAGATACATGAACAAATACAAAAATGGACATGTTTTCCTTTACCTCTGGAGTACAGATATAAAGACAAACGAGCCATGGTTTATAATTTTAGGCTGTTAAGAGATTTTAACATTATCAATCCAGAGAGAGAAACACGTTAATATTATAAAGCATACATAAAAAAAATGACTTTATTATTATAAGAAACGATTTATTATCCCTCATAACTTTATGAATCCTTTGCATAATAATGAAACAAATTGTTCAATTCACAACTCAATGCATGTAATTTGAAAGCTGTAATCGTTATACAATGACACGTGATATATGCCGTGACAAAGTTTGTTGTCGTTCTTTAAGTCACGCCCTCAAATAACTCCGAACCGAAACACGCGACTGATCCAACAGTCAAATGGATAAGCGAGGGCAATAATGTTATATCATTTTTAAAAATATAAATAATAATATCAAGCAGCGTTTACCTATAGATCGTGATTAGTTTTTATTCTACTTTTGGTGCGCGCAACACACAACTTCCACTTATCGCTCAACTTTTTAATAGAAATTATTTTCATGTCATGTTGGGCTATTATTTTTGAATTGCATTTTTAACCGAGCTAAAGCTAAGAAACTACAGATAAAAAATCATAAATACCATTAAAATAACAAAAATTCTATTTATTATATCAGCGGTTGATTATGGATTGTACGATCCGTTGATTGTGGATTGTAAGACAATTGGTTATTGAACTGTTATTTTCCATTCAAAGTTTACTAAAACGGAATTTAGAGATTTCCATTGTCTGTCATAGACAAGTCAAAAGTTGTCACACTAATTGTAAGTGAGTACTGTTGGAATATCACAAAAGGAAATTCCTTCTAACTATTCACTAATTTAATTTTATAAAAGGTTACATGATAATTTTTCGGAATAAATGGTCGATAGATACCTAAGAATTTAAATATAATATCAGATCTAGTGTTATTAAACTACAGTAAATATATTTAAGGTTATAAACGTATCTATTAAACTTGTTCTTTCACACAAGTACAATAAGTACAATAGTAGAGCATACTGTTGGAATATCACAAAGAAGAGATTTGTCAAATTATTCACTAATTTAATTTTCTAAAAAGTTACATGACAATATTTCGGAATAAACGGAAGTTGTTACCTAATTATTTAAATATAATAATTATCTAGAATCTAGAATTATTAAGCTACAGTAAATGTACTTAAGGTTATAATCATATGCTCTTATACATCCATGAAATGATTTTATATTTTACTTCTTCTTTCACACAAGTACAATTAAATAGTTTTTTAAACAATGTCTTGATTAGGTGGATTTTAAATAGTTTTTTCAATCTTAAAAATATTTTAAAAGTATACATTTAGTTGGTAAATTTCATTTAATTTCCTTGAAATCATTTGATAACTACTTTTCAAAAATAATTA